GGTGATACATTGCAACATCATATGGGTGCATCATCGGCGCTCAGTCGTTTGAGCGGTATGCCAACGCCGAGTCCATTGACTCCAAATTCAATGGATGAACTACTACCATCGGTGGATGAGTTGCAAGAGGTGAGAGAGAGAGAGAGAGAGAGAGAGAGAGAGAGCGGGAGGGATTGGATGTGAAAAATGGTCAATGATTTTTATACAGCCAGTGTAAATTTCCAGATTGGGTACAATTTGAAAATTTAAATTTCCATCCCTGATAGAATATCAGCTGTTTAAGAGGATCAGAAAGGAACAGCTGACTACTATTTGTTCAATAAACATACCACAAAGTCAAAATTAATCATACCCAGCAGGGTTGCATGAAAAAATTAATTAAATTAGCACTCAATTAAGTACTAATCGAGCAATTAAGAATTGAAATTTTGTAGGGTAAATCGAGCTCAATTAGCGCCTTAATTGAGAAAGCTTGGCTAATTGCTCTATAAGTGGCCTGTCTGAACATACTATTAGGCTTACCTGATTCGACGGAAAAAATTACAATTATAAGAACGAGTATGCTTAAGAGATGTCCGCTCCTTTATTTAACGCATATTTTATTTGAGAACGGTGTTACCATTTATTTGTTTGCCGTCCCGCCAGAATTATAAACAAAAATCGCTAGAATCTCGCTAAATCATTTAAATTGTGTAAGCACTTATGAAAAAATAGTTTCTTTTATAATTTAACAGTTCAATTTTATTTTATAAAATTAGAGATCAAATGTTTATAAAAAACAATAATAAAATGTATGTAGTCAATGCTAAACTTACTTGCAAAATTTTAGTGTAAGTTTCAAATGGCTAAGAAGTGGCGTTGACTTTAAATATTTTGCTTTTGCTGACGGCATTTAGCACCGTGTCATTTTCTTCCATGGAACTATAAATATAAAGTAAGGTAGATTTTTTTTTTATTCTAAACAAAAATTGCAATTTCGGTATTTTTTTATAAATTTATGACCTCTTTATTAAAATATAAAATAAAAATAAAAAGTGACACTTTCATAATAATTTTCGATTTATAAAAGCAGTCAAAGAATTTTGTATTTTTTATGAATTGGTTTTATTATTTACAGAAATAGGATAAACGTTTTTTTTTTCAAGTTGCAACTTTCTCTGCACTGTGCACTAAATAACCTAATATGAACAAATAAAAACTCAAAAAGCGGGCTCAACAATTCTCTCCTAAATTTTATTAGATTTATTTAAAAAAAAAAAATCAAATCGGTTGAAAAATGAGGGCTTTGAACAATTTTGAACTAAAAATTCTAGTCAGGAATATGTTTTGAGTTCGCAGCGAAAAATCTATTAAGTGAGAACACAATAGACAGCCTGTGAATTATCTACATAAGTAAACCTTTGAGGTAATGCCACCAAACCTAAACCTTCTTAAGTAGTTTTGGACCGTAAATACAAAATCAAGCACACACATACTTAACTTTATAAAGGATAAACTGTATACTTTACCGCCTTTACCGGGCATGAAAAAATGCTTTTTTCAATTATCCTGCTAACCAATTAAGCGGAACACTCTCTATGGAACTTTTCGTTTATGGACCGAGCCATTGGTTGAAATTAAGAGAGTTATTGTTTTCAAATATTTTCCAAACTGGTTTTCAACTAAAATTGCAAATCTTAAACGGAATTCATTATCCATTCTCTATCCACAGTATCCACCAAAAAGTGACGATCTAGCGACAACAATACATAAAATGGCGGCCGAAAGTGTAGCCGCTTCAACGCTAACAGCGATAAAACAGGCGGGTACCAGTGTTGCACTGACAACAACAATGGGCGCAACAACAATGACGGCGGCGGCGGCGAGTACGGGTGCCAGTGGCAGTGGCAGCGGCTGCTTGGTAACACCGGGCACACCGTCAGATGGGGCTGGAGCGGCCGCTTATATTGGACCATGTAGTTCATCGACTGAAGCGCTCTAAAAAGTTATACATAAGCGATATATACATATATGTATGTATGTATATAAAACAGCCAGTAACGAAATATACAAAGTACGAGTACATACAATAACAA